CTATCCACTGAGCCAAACCGGTTAGGGCCAAAGTTACATTTTTAAAAAACATACATAACTGGGTTAATTGATTTTGCTTAAATTACATCAGAGCTTGTGATTTTTAATTTTCCTAAACACTCTTTGGTGTCAAGTTATTTTTGTTTTATCACAGAGTATACTTTCCTGACTTTATTGTTGCTTTAAGATTCAGCAATCTTGTGGGTCATTGTTAATAAGCTACTACTACTACAAAATTTAATGTCTTCATATAAATAAATCTGGTTAAAGAAGAAATACCACTTTTCTATCCCCAAGTCCTTATTTTTCTAATGTCTAACAAAAATCACTAATATTTACCTGTCAGTATGTAGATCTATTTTATACAGCTCCAAGCATACATCAAAAGGCTGTTAAATCAATACTCTATAAGCATAACACTTAAAAAAAATTTTAATATATTTTTATTGATTTCAGAGAGGAAGAGAGAAGGAGAGATAGAATCATCAATGATGAGAGAGAATCACTGATCGGCTGCCTCCTGCATGCCCTCAACCAGGGATGGAGCCCACAACTCGGGCATGTGCCCTTGACCAGAATTGAACCTGGGACCCTTTTGTCTGCAGGTTGATGCTCTATCTACTGAGTCAAACAAGCTAGGGTAAGCATAACACATTTAATAGAACTTCTAAAGGGCAATCATCTCAAATTTAATTTAATAAAATAGGGTTTATACACATGTCATTACATATTTTAATGGAAAGTAAAATAGAACCATTCTTACTGAATTATTCAAAATTCCTTCTATTTTTCTCTCAAACTCTTTTCAGTCACTTATTTGCCAATTAAATGGACAGAGAATATAAATTAATCTCCTTTAAAGGATCTAGTTAAGTCTTGCCTTTAGAACCCTTTCCAGTGCACCTTTATTTGTACTTACTAGTAGAATTTGGGCATTCACAAACTACAGGTCTCCAGTCCAGCAATAAAATCCATCCTTTCAAGCTCATGTCTTGAAAAATGACTTCTAAAACCAAAGTATACTGATCACTTTGGCTAAACAGAATTATTAGACTGAATAAAAGAAATAGAATTTCTTAAAATCTTGGAATTGGAGTGAAACTTGAAAGATCATTCAGTCGAGCCAAATATTAAAAAGTAGGTCTGGAGAGTCTACAGAAAAACGACAGTATTTTATTCCTATGACATTCAATCCAAAGCATTTCAACACCATGTAGAAATCCATTATTTATTTTTAAATTTAAATGTCCACTGAAATGAAAGACAACAATCTCAAGCATGTAATTCAGAGTAAAATGAGGTATTTACTATATCGATCTTATCAATAGCCTCAACTTGATTTGGTAGTTAAGCCATTTGTATTTGTGAACAAACTTAGAGTCCACACTTGAATTTTCATATATATTTAACAGCTTACTCTCATTTTAAAACTTTTGCTGACTCGTTTTCTTTTTTACACTGTTTCAGTTTTACTTTTAAAAAGCTTTTTGGTTTCACTAAATCTTCAATGGTTTTATTGATTTCGGAAAGAGAGGAAGGGAGAGGGAGAGAGAAAAATCGATGGATTGCCTCCAGTAAGCACCCAACCCGAATGTGCAATACCTGGATGGAATCGACTGGTAACCTTTTGGCACGGGACAATGTTCAATCGAGTTACACGGGCCAGGGCTCTTCCTTTCTTAACTGATCATACTGTGTGACCTTCCCATTAAAGAAAATGACCCCTAGTGTCCTCGTGAAATACTCTTTCTTCTTTAAGGTACAGTGTCCATTTTATCATATACAAAATTTCTTTAAGCAAGCATCATCCCCACACCCATCACCTTCTTTAAAAAGAGTTCTCCAGTGTGTCTACTGATATTTTAAAATAGTGACTCCAGTGCATTAACAGATCCTATCCCATCTGTTTTCTGAGGCTTTACTCTGTCACTTACCCTAACCCTAGTCACATGTAGACTAAGAGCATGGGCTCTGGAACCCCACTACCAGAGTCTGAATCCTGGCTTCTACCATTTAAAAGCTGTGTATTTGGGGAAAGTTACTCAAGCTTTCTCATATGTAAAGTGAGCCTAATAACAACACTTAACTTAAATGGCCATTATGAGAATTAAATAAGATAGTACAAAATAAACTTAGCAGAATGCCAGGCATATAAATACGCTTCTTATTATTTAACTAGAGGGCCCGGTGCATGAAATTCATGCATTGGTGGTGGTGG